CAGTATTTTCCTGGCATTGAACACGTTTGTTATGCTTCCCCTTTTAGCAATTGAGGATGCTCAAGGAATGTCAAGTTCTGCTTAAGATAAACAAAATTACAAAAATGTAATTATCACATATTATCTCTACTGCCCATATAATGAGTCTTCATTAGGGACTGTCTTGCAGTGATTTGTGAATGTGTCTTACTATAATCCACTAAGATTCTGAATGATAGGTGCCTTATTATCTATTTCTGTCGTTCCCTACTCTGCATTCTACTGCTATCACCTCACCACTTCTCACCCAGTTTACTGAAACAGTCCTCCAAATCCCTCTAGTCCCACTTGCAGGGGCTTTCCATTGCCCATGATCTAGAAAACTCCAGCTGCTTTGTCTGGTATACAGGGCACTTCATGTTATAGCTGCTGCCAAGAATTGCACATGCTCTCTACGTCAGCCATACTTGGAGTGTCACCGAATACATTCGGAGGACTATTGGAGTTCTCTGAATAGATTATACTGCTTTAAACCTGCGTACCTTCACCTGCTCTGAACCCCATAACTGAAATGACCTCCCATCATGATCATTTGGGCCACCTCATCTTTTAACATTTATCTTAAGCTACCTTTTTTTTGAAACTTTTTCTGGCCCGTATATTTCATAATCCCAACTATGGGCTCTTATATACATCTACTGTACTACCTATAACCCTTTATTTTACATGTATATGTTTTCCTATATAAGAATGTAAGCATCTTTGAGGCGAGTGAATACATGATACAGAAATAAAAGTTGGCAAAGATATCTTTTTGTCAAAAACTCTAGCTAACTAAATTTTTATTCATACCTCCAGATCTGGCTTTTTGCTTTCTTCCTCTGCTTCCTATAAATTGAGTGAGAGGCCTATGAATTATTGTTTCAGGAGTCCCACAGCCTTCCCACACATTTGATGACTTGCTACAAGGACTCACAGGATTCAAAGTCTACGGTTTGTTATGGCAAGGAGAAAAGACACATCAGACAGAGTGGAAAAGTCCAGGCACAGCCTTCCAACATTCTCCCTTGTAGAATGTGCTCCTTCCTTTAGTGATAAAATGCAGCTAACACTTGTGTAGTGTTTCTGGCCGGACGTGGTAGCTCATGCCTGTAATCCTAGCACTCTGGGAGGCCGAGGCGGGAGGATGGCTTGAGGTCCAGAGTTTGAGACCAAACTGAGCAAGAGTGAGACCTTATTTCTACTAAAAATA